GGCGTGTAGAAGAGCTGAAGTTGTAATCCGATACCTGAGGTGGTCATCAAACGTCGGACTAAAGTACGATGTGGCTCCTGATAACTTCGGTAAGCGGGAGGAGCTTGCCTGGAAACGTGATCGGGCAATGCTAGCGTCAGTAAGCGATGCTTCATTTGCTCCCACAGGTGGTAGAAGCGTTGGGGCCGCTCAAATCTCTTGGGCAGGTAGCCTAGTCTCCTGGTGTGGAGGAAGACAACTGTTCGCCGCAGCATGCACGGCTGAATCCGAGCTATTGTCCCTAACCGAAGCTTTCATGTTAGCGAGAGCCATAGAGCCCTTAATAGCGGCTCTCCACAGGTTCAATGAAGCTAAAAATGTGCTTCGCAAAGGGTTATATACAGACAACACTGCTACCCTGCAGTTGTGTCAGTTATAGAGTCAGGTTCATGGAGAACCAGGCATATCCGCCTTCGTGCAACAATAGTGCGGGAAGCACTTGAAAATGATGAGTGGCGAGCAGCACATCTTCCTGGGTTGTATACGTCAGCAGACGTAGCTACCAAAGCAGTGGGTCCTCAACGACTTGCAGATTTGATGCGAGTAATGGATCTCTATACCCCAAGGCACTCATTGCCTTGCTGTTGTTCTCAAGGTTAACCGCTGTCAAAGCAGGTAATATTCCCACTCACGGGAAACCTCGGGAGTCATTTCCTCGGGCTCCTGGTCCTCTGGGGTACTACTTCTTTGCTTAGTCACGGTGATAGCTGCTACAGGTCGGGAAGACCCGTGCTCAGGCATGCGTGTCGCAGGAAGTAAAGACTGCCCAGTCTAACCGGGCATTGGCCATGTTAGCATCCACTATTTGTTTGTGGGTAATCTGTCTTGAAAAGGCAGAATTGCAGAAAAACTGGTATTTGGTCGGTTGTATCGTAGTACTAATTTGTGCTTGGGAAGGTTTGAAGACCTTCGTGACGGCAGATGCTCCCGTGATCGGTCCCTTGCCGGTAGATATGATCCATCAACAGACCGTACCGACCACAGAGTCCATTACGACTCCGACAGAGGATCGGGAAGATTGCTCGGAGGTCAGTTATGAAGCGAGCTCAACTGCCGTACAAACCGATCATCAGTTTGAAGATCTCCTGCAAACTTGCACCAGTCAAGCGCGAATTATCCGCAAATTACATCGGGTGGTATCGAAACAAGAACATGACTTGCAAACTATTCGCAATTGGAGACCTACGGCAAATGCAGTGGGAAATATCTACCTTTGCCCCAATGGCAAGGCATGGCATGCTTGCGAGTTATGTGCACAAAATCGCACAAATGCCCAGGTAATTATGCGGAGGCCCTGAGCTTATTGTGGTGGTGAACAGATAGCAATGCCTCAAGTTCTTCAAAATATTCTGTATCCACCGAATGCCCAGCAACCTTCAGCCAATTCTACTCGCTGACTGGTTCAAACGCATGGACATCAGACACCGCGGAAGGTGACAAAGCCAGCCGTTAAGCATAACCTCAGTTCTGGAGGAACGGTCATATGTACATAGTGCATTGTGACGTCTTGCAAAACAGAAGGGGAGTGCGCGTACAGGAACATGAGTGCGTGTGCAGCATGTGCATGTAGCTGTGCATATCTGTAGCTGTTCAGGACCACAGCTTTAAGTCGTGATCCAACACTTTGTATAGAGGTGATATTCATACTTTCAATTTTTAATCGCAGCGTACAATCAGAGACATTGCTTCTTGCTTTCTTTTGGTTTGTAGGTTTGACTTTCGTAGTTTCCTCGCGCGCCATCATAAAAGGTGACCGACTGCTTAACCACACCGCTTGATAGTGCCAACCCGTGTGAAGACTTCAGTGTCAGCAGCAGTAGTAGTAGTAGTAATGGTGGGTGGTAGTGGTTGTGCCGTGTCACAGTTTTTTTCCTGCAAAGTCTTGCACAGGTATTTATGCCCGTCGGTGGCTTGGCAAAACAGAGGAGAGGGATGTTGGAGACATGCATCTGCCGGTAGCTGCGCAGGCACACAGGGCACCATTAAGGCAATGTCTTCCGCTGCTTGGTTGCAGCTGACAATGATTGCAAGACTGTCGGGGCAGCGTGAATGAAGTCTCTCTCCCCTACGTGCAACACCAGATTTTGTTCAGAGAAAACTTTCACAATGACAGGAGGACATGGAGTCTCTGGGCTGTCATTTACTCGGCTGTCCATGGGAGAGGCGTAAAGTGGATGAAGGTGCATAGCTTTCTGCGGGTCGAGGCCGTATCTTGTTGGGCAACACTTTTCATCTCGCAAATCGCCCTACTTGCGACCTTCTTCGCAAATGTGGCGGTCTACACAAGCTGATGAACTGGTACCCAACCTCAAGATTAATTTCTAGGGTATGCTGTTCTTGTCGAATGTTGCTTCAGGAAAGGCAACATCCTCACAGACAGCGGTGGATTTCAGATGGTCTCGTTGCTGAAGTTGGCTGTCATCACCGTGACCCGGTTGAAAGCCCGCGTGCTGTTGCTCTGGTTCATGAAGCCATACTGCCCAGTGCTCGACTGTCCTTAGGAGGATGGCGTGGAGTTTGAGGATCCCAAAAAGCCTGGGAGCAGGATGCTACTCACCCCTGAAAAGTCAATCGAGTCCCAGAATGACATCGGAGCAGACATCATGCGCTCTACTGAGTTTCAGATGGGCTGCTATGCCGAGCTTGACGTTGTGATTCGTTCTGATTGTGGCCTGTGTGCACAAGAAAGGATGGCCTTGGACGATGTTGCCGCTCTGCTTGCATCTGCTGAGCAAACGAGAGTTGGCAGCTCGTGTCGTTCAGGTCTCCTCAACACTGGACTCGGTGAAAGACGAGGCTCGCATCCAGGAAGCAACCGACCGGACCCTGAGATGGCCCCTCGGCCTTGAATCCTGCTACCAACAGAACTGCGATTGCAATTGCCTTGCGTACCCTTTTCAGGATCGACCGGTGCATCAAGGCGCATCGCAACCCAGATCATCAGCCTCTCTGAGAACATGTTGCGATGCAAGTCTGAGGTTCAGCCCTTCTGGGTCACCTTGCGTTGCTTTGTACTGAGGAATCTTTTTGGAATCGTTCAGGGCCATTTGGATGTGAAGGCTGGCGGACTTCGGGAGTACTCGCTCAAGGATGCAGCGCTGCTTCAGGAAAACTAGCGGCTTCTGTTGGCCAGCAGCATCCCAAATTCGTGTTCAACAGGAGATGATCAAGCGGGATCTCCCTGGCTATGCAATTGGTGGACTGTCCGGAGGAGCGGGAGTGTTGATCTGCTTCGCGTTGCTTCAGAAGCCCATGGTGGCCATCTTGAGGCGAGGCTAAAGGAGAGTTCTGGCGAGTGGTGGAGCAGTGTACAAGACCTGGCACTGGGCTGCCAGCAAACAAGCCGCCATGGCCTCAGCTTGCGTCGGCGCGAAGCTTACTCATGTCATGTTGCTTTGCGTGAACCACTGAGGCGCTACCTAATGGGTGTGGGCTATCCTCTGGACATTGTGATATGCGTCGCGCTCGGCGTTGACATGTTTCTTGGCTCTTGCGAGTTTCTTGATACTCTCTCTGACTCCATGCTGCTCCTCCAGCGGTTGTCTCTGAAATGGCTGAAAGGTTCGACTGTGTGTACCCGTGCCGGACAGCACGATTCGGGACCGCACTCGTGCGGAGTGGCCAGCTTCGAGCCCGGGCGGCACCTTCAGCACCTTCAGCACCTTCAGCCTTCAGCCTTCAGTTCGAAGTCTGAGTCTCCATGACTCTTCTTCTGAGGATTGACAAGCGCAGAATTTGCAAATGATCATCGTCCTCTAGAGCCGGGCAACGGTGATGGCCAGGGCCCCCTGAAGGACAAACTACTTTCTGACAGTTTTCTGTCTAAGCTGGGATGCTGTCCTAGAGCCTTTGGCCTCCTTTTTCTGGATTTCCCCTTGTTCTGGGATTGTGGTCGACATGTTGGATGTTTGGTGTGCAGTTTCTTGCTTCTAGTCCTTTCCTGAAGCCTGCGTTTCTTTATGGGCCAGTGTTTGCATTTCTTTGCAACTGGCAGAGTCTCTGTTCAGAGGATTACACGCGAGCCATGCTTTACACCATAGTCACAAAAGAGCCCGTGGCTGCGCAACTCATCACTTTGCACAACCTGTGGTTTATGCTGTCCCTCGGCGCAGCTATTTGTTGATGCCTGGTCCTCTCAACGTTGCGGCATGCTTCAAACCAGGAACCTTCTCCAAGAGATGCGGGAGCAAATCAAGCGTGGGTCTTTTCAAGAGCTTTGGTGGCAAGATTGGAAGAGGCGATGATTATCCGCCAAGCTTACTGTGGTTTATTTCTAACAGGCGTGGGTCCGAAGATTTCTGCAAGACTTCTTCCCAACGGCAAAGCCAGCACCGTGCGAAGTTTGCCCACCTCGAGCCTCAGCAAAATTCGGCCATGCAAGGCCAGGTAAACCGAAGGTCAAGAAACGCGCAGACAAGTGCTCTGTTCCCGGCTTGCCTCCGCTCAGGATGGGTGAAGGATGCCCTAGATGTTTGCGGCATATCCGTGGACGTACCTCGGAGACATTGCTTTGCAGTTTTTTGCAGCCGTTCACGTCTGGAGACTCCTGATCCAGTCGGGCGGGTTGCAGTAGGCTTGTGCTAAAGTTTGGTCAGGTTTGGAAGCCAGAGTCTATGTCGTTGCAGGCAGATTCAGGAAAGAGCAATCGGGATGCGTGTACGTATGCCACTGCGTGCTGAGGATTTGTTTGATTGGAGCGAGTCTGCCAAAGAGCTACCGGATATGCCCAAAGACTCTGGGAAAGCTCAAGGTTCCTCGGTTTGAAAACCAAAAATGCTAAAGTTTGGCTGAACAGACTCTTCAAAAGACTTTCCCAAGGCAAGTGAAACTTGGCCTTGGCACCCAACCGACTCTGACACAGGGCTTCCGCGGCAAAGGGCGAAAAAAGGCTGAGCGATTGCCTTCTCAGATAGCCGGCGTCGTAATTAAGCTTGGAATCGAACCATGGAGATTTGGATCAGGTAAAGACGTTTGAGCGCCTACACCATCCAAACATTGTGGAGCCCAAGACTCAAAATCCCTTCATGCCTTGATCTTGAGTTTGCAAACATGCCAAGCTGGGCCAAGGTACAAGCACTCTTGGTTGGAGCTGTCAAGGCGATCCGAATTCTGCCCCTTTGTGCGGTGCTCGTGTGACATTTGTAGCGCTCACAACGGAGGAACAGCCCAAATCTCCAAGCCGTGAACCGCCAAGGTGCCCTTCCTGTTCATCCTTATGCCTGGCCCTCTGGGCTTAAGCCCAGCTTAAGCTCGTTGTTGGGAGCATCCGCAAGTGCAGGCAGTACTGCAACGGCGGTTCGCTGGCGGAACAGATATGGCACGATGGCAATTCTCAGACTCCCAAGGACCAGATGCCCACAGAACAGGCCGATGACAACATCTGCTGCCAGTGGATACTGAAAATCTCGCTCAGATCTGGCACTTCTTGTTGGACATTCTGCTGGGACTGCAGCATCTGCACAGGTCGGTTTCGGGGTTGTCAGAACCTCCGAGCCACCTGTCCTGTAAGCTCCAAAGGCAGGGCATCCTTCACCGCGACCTGAAACCGACCAATATCCTTTTATCGTGGCCTGATGCAGCCGGCAGGTGCAGTGCTCTAAGCTCTTGAAGTTTTCACCAATTCTGTTGAGCACAGGGGTGGAGGATCCGAGAGCTTTCCAAGGGCACTTCTGAGTCGACGCCTGACTGTTTGACCCTTTTACCCTGCGGGCACATCCTGCTTCACAGCCTGGCCAATCGGAGCACAAGGTGACTTCGGCACTGCCCAGGCCTTCGGAGAGCCCCCGGCCAGCCACGGCCCCTGAGCCTCCTGAGTTTCCTGAGCCTATTGCAATGCTTTGTCAGTGAGGACGTTGAACTTTTGAACCGTTGACATCCGTTGAACTGAGGCGCTACTGCGGCTGTCTCGCGTGGGTATACGGGCACTGCCGAGATCTCATCAAGGTACTTGCACAACATCTGGCATCCATGCGATTTGCCATGAGGTGGAGTACACTGCGCCTGAGCTCTTGCTCACGGAGGACCTGGAGCGTGAATACTCCGAGAAGAGCGATATGTGGTCTAGATCTTTGCGATCTCCCATCCTTTATTTAGCTGCTCGGGGTATGCGAGATGGCTGTCTCAGGTCACTGGGCATGGTGGTCTATGCCATGTCCTTTTCCTCATTGCCGTTCTCACATGATGATCCACATGTTTTGAAGGCTGACATGAAGAGGTTTGGACAGTCGCTCCAAATCTCCTTGCAAGCCAGAAGCCAGGGCCTCATCAAGGCCTTCGTGGAAGAGAAGCGCCGCCCGGCTCCAAACGAGAAGGCTCCCAGCGCCGAGGACTGGCTCGAGATGGCTTTTCGGTTTAGTTGTTTAGCAGATTTTAGCAGGTACAAGCAGCTCTGTTCCAGAGGGCGCTCACACTTTCAACTTGTCACAAGCGAAAAGGAAGATGCCTCTGGCTGGCTTCCGTTCGATACTGGCGGGCGAATAGGGCCTTTGCGCCTGGCTCCTCACACGCAAAGACGCAAAGAGGTGAGCCTTCTTTCCTGTCCGGCTAGCGGAAGATCTGAGGTCCTTGCAGCTTTGCTTGCGCTAGATGCTCGACGAAGGCCGGCCGCCACGGACCTGCCATCATCCCAGAGGCAGCTTTTGCCTGCAGTTGGCAAGCTATGCAATACCGAGTTCCCCGAGGCTTGAGAATCCCGTCTTCCGGCGACAGGCACGGCGGTACCTTCGAAAGGCGGCGGATGTTGGTGAGACGCAGGGCCCGGTGCTGGCCTTGGGAACTTTGTGGCAGCCTGCAATGGACACTGCGAATCGCCAATGTTTAGGCTTTGCCAATCGACTCTTCCTGGAATTGTTTCGATTAGGCCAGCGGCCTCAAGATGCCTGAAGCTTCTACAGTACTGTGCTTGCTGGTACAGTCTGGCCGAACTTCTTTGGCATTCGGTTTGTTATTGGATGCAAGTATGCCTTCTCAGGAGTGTGAACTCTAAACATCTTGTCCATTTTTCTGCGAGACGTGATTGCTCCAATACATGGACAACCCATTTCCTGCGGCTGCACCAATACACCGATAGTGTTTCCTGCCGATACATGGATTCCGCCAATGCACCGACATGCCGATTTCCCGCAGACATGTGTGTGTAAGCGGCAAAGCCGGCGTAGGTGGCGCCGTGGCATAACCGCCACATCCAGCTCTGCGGCAAAGCTGGCATAGCCAGTGTAAGCGGGGCAACCAGCATAACCAGTGCAACCTGGTTGAGCAGTGTAACCGATGCAACCAACATCAATCAGCGCAAGCGGTTTAATCAGAGTGCAAGTGCCATAGGCCTCGTCCGCGTAATCGGCATCTGCGGCGTAACCGCTGTAAGCGGCTTAACCAGCATCTAGAATCTAAACGGCGTAACCTGTGTAAGCCGCGTACCTGGCTTAGGCGATGCGGGGGCCATAGACCCCCCGAACCAATCTGAAACCATGCCTTACGTCAACATCCTCACATCCCTCTTTTTTTGTGCCTTTGTGTTCTGCAACTTCTACTTGGTCCGAGTTAGTCCTTGTTGCAGGCAGAGTGGCCAAACCAATCAGTCATGCATGAGGCACAGTAGCGGCCCCATGTGAGCGCCCCGCACAAGTCCTGCCTGGAAGGGTTTTGGACATTTGCAAAGACAGGTTGCTGCTGGAGCTGTATGTGGCCTCAGCTCCAGCTGTGATCGTAGATGCTACGCACTGCTACACCCACTACCAGGACTTGCAGGCAAAGTGCGGCCACATGGGGCGGCTCGTCTCTTCGTTTGCCGTTGCCGACTGAGCGGAGAGCGCCGCGTAGCAAGAATGCTTTGAAAAGGATTCGCTGACCAGGCCCATCTGTGTGGAGCCGGGGTAGAAGGTGAGCTCCGGAAGTACCCAAGAAAGGCCGCCGCAATGAAGGTCCAGCCACAGCCCCACACCAGCCAAGGTTGACAGAGCCAACCGCAGAGAAAACAAGAGGCCGACCTGCCTTTGGACATGGAGGAGAAGTGGAATGAGAGGACTGAAGCGCTGCAACAGCAACAGCCAGGGACCTTATTTCCAGGCTTGGCTCCATCCTTTTGCTTGAATGTAGCATGTAATGAATGCGCTCAGCCCAACTTTTTGGAGCCGTGTGCTGCAGTTCCTTGCGCGAATGTTGTTCTGGCAGTTGAACGCAGAGGGAGAATTATGCAGCTGCATTTACCCAAGCTGCAACAGATGACTCCACCGGCGTGCTGCATGCCCTTTATTTCTGGTCGGAGGCTTTTCCTGTCAATGTGCATGAGACCATCCTCTGAAGACATGCTGTGCTATCCTCACATGTCCAGTAATGCAGCTTAGCGGCTGAGCGGCTTAGCAGCTTCGAAAACCTTGACCTTGGCTGTTGGAGGTGAAGATGTGCAGCCTTTGTACTGAGCGGTTTGTGCCATGTACAGAGAGCCCCAGAGAAGGCTTGGCCTAGAGCCCATTTAGAGCCACACGATCCAGACCTCAAAGGAGCGTTCAAAGGTCATCGCTCCAAGGCGGCCAGCCTCGGCCAGCCTCCAGCATTTATGCTGGACCGCTCCCTCGCGAAAATCAACGACTATGGTCCTGCAGAGTGCTTACGTAGCCATCTTTTGAAGACTGGTATCTCCTGTAGACCAGCTTGGCTCGGCACGGCTTGTTGCGTTCCTCTGCCATGACTCTCAGCAAAGGGCACCAGTAGGTCCATCGCCAGTCGTAGCAGCATCCGTTACAACACAGCTGACCTTTGCATCTCTGTCAAAGGATGAACGTCCGGTTTGTAGGGCCAGCTCAGAAGCATGCAATCAGTCAGCGCTTTTGTCAGCTTGTTGTGAGACTGTGCATAGTTGTGCAGAGATGCCCAGTCAGGCGGGTGCTGTGTTGCGGTCTGCAGGAAAAGCGTGCTGATTGCATTGAAGCTGGCTTACAGGCTTGTCATTGCAACGCCATGATCGCTACACGCAGTTGTGTCTCCATGTTGCATGTTTCCCAACAGTCGAGGACAACATTACGTCGTTCTCGCGGATAAAGGATGAGGTCAGCCAATTTTCTGACTTCCAGCACGGAGTTGAAGTTTGCGGCAGAAAGAGGTGAACGTCCGCCTCCCTCAATGCATTGAGCAGGCTGGGCCGGGCCCGGGCATGGCCGGGCATTTGTCAGATCAAGCTTGAGACCTTTGAGACCTCTGGCTGTTCTGAGGTCCTGGGCCCCGTGAAGGATTACAACCCGAAGCAGGTTGAAGAGTGGTGCAACTCGCTGGGGTGAGCCTGCAGTGCCTGCTTTATTTTTTGGCTTTCGCACATTTCGCTATGCAAGAAAGAGCATTATGAAGGTTTTGGAAACTTGGGAAGGCAAGTGGTCCTGGAGAAGATGCAGGAGCTCAGTGGAAATTTTAAGCTGAGAGCTCAGGATCTCTTCCAAGCCTTCTATGCGCAGGCTGTGTTTGTGCAGGTACATTGTGAACATCAGCTTAATGGAGAAAAAGGGGGCAGGCTTCCACACAAGGCTTGGGAAGGGCTTCCCGCATTCTTTTCTCGCATGAATTCCAGTTGTTTCGGCTGCTGCTTGTTGTGGCACCAGCCTGGAGACAGGCAAATGAAATGCATGTGTTTACTATGAATGCCGAGAACCCCGCGCTTGATTCGGGCAGTTCATCTACTTTCTGGGATCCAGAATCGGATGCTGCCACAACATACAGGCCCAACTCTCAGCTTCCAGGTGAGCGGGTGTTTCACACACTGTTTCTGGTGAGGTGGGAGAACAAGGCTCTGCTGTGCGTTGTGCAGGCAAGTTGAGAGAGGGATGCTCAACGAGTTTGAATACTACAGTGTTTGCACACTTTGGCTGATAAAGCAGAGTCAAAATATCAGGTCTTCGGTATCGGAATGTGAGCTGAACGCCATGCGCCTTCGCACGCTATGGATGCGGGGAGCGCAGGAAGCCGTCATGTCCATGCTTTGATGATATGCGTTGCATTCTTCAGCCAGTAAGTGTTGACTCTTGGTGAAGCCCTACACTTCCCACGTCTGGGTTGCGCAAAATCTTTACGCGGCCTACGGGGCTGCCTACGTTTCACAACCCTGACCCGTCTGAATTGATAAAAGGCAACGCGCCACTCACTAGGGGCCAGATATGAAGCCGCTTGCCCGTCATCATACGCACGATGTATTCCTCAGACCGGTTCTCATGAGCAATCCCTGCTGTGCCTGTACGTTGCTGAGGGTCAATGGTCCCCGATTCTCCTGGAGGTTTGCATATGATGGATTTGATGGCTCCAACGACTTCATGACTAATTTGGCATTCAATGCTACTTTGGAACTCTGTGACTTCAATGTTGATTCTCCATGGACTCTTCCCTCTACAGCCACTGCCCCTTGAGCCCGTGTGTGGACGCCCTAGACTGGACGCAGGATTCGCAGTTCTGAGTAGCTACAGCGCTAGAGAGCTTTGTACCTCCCATGCAGCTCGTTTGTGCAAGCATTTGTGGTGCTTGCTTTTGAACATACCTGGCAACAATATTATTTAGGGCCTGGCGGCACAGGCCGGCCTGGCCGTCGCCCTTCCAAAGCCCAGCCATCACCTGACAACAAAACCCACCCCAGCCATGCTGATGCTCCTGACCGGGAGAAGCGCACGAAAAAGTGCTATTCTTGCAACATGGTGTTTTTTTGGTTTGGAAGTCCTGTGTTCTCTCTAGTTTACCTCAAAACGGCCCAAAATTGGGTCGCGCGCGCGCGCGCGCCTCGTACAGAAGCATCATCAGCGCAATTGGGACCCCATTTTGGCTTGATTGAGACCAGGAGGGGTCAAAAACCCAAGAAGAGGCACCAAGAATGGCATTGAACCACAAACAGTGCCCACAGCGTGTATTGTGAGCGTTTTGTTGGGTTTTATGGCGCATTTTAAGCGCCCAGCAGCCCCCCCAGAAGCGAGCATCATCAGCATCATGAGCATCATGGCCTGCCTAGGGGCCACAAAAGTATTGAACATATGGGCAAAAGACACCCATAAACCACCTCACTGAAAGCCTACCGCCTCAGCCTTCAGTGGGGTGTGCGAGCAGACGCTAGAAGCCGTATCAGCTTCAGGAGTCCCCATAAACCATGCAATATGCACATTTTATAGGGTTGGGCCTGGGCAATGCGCGCCAAACCTTTCTCATGCTTGTCATACAGTGCAGATCCTACCAACACGGGTTTTTACAGCCACAAACACTGCCCACAGCGTGCATTTTGAACGTTTTGTTGGGGTTTATAGCGCTTGTTAAGTGCCCTGCGGCCCCCCAAGAGCCAGCATCATGAGCATCATGGGGCTTCTTGACACCACATATATGAGGCTTCAAGATGACGCTGGCCCAAAAAACGCGCCCAAAACCTTCCGTAGCGTGGGGGGAAGCTTCAAAAACGCAGCCAAAAATCATAATAGTTTTTGACACCCTCCAGGCCGCCAAGGGAGGGGGTCGGAGGCAGTGGCGTCACCCCGCATCCGCACTGGACCATGACAGCCTCAGGCCGGATTTTAGGCCTAGCGGCAGGGGCCGGCCCTGCCGCCTTCCGGCAGCCCGCCAAGAGCCAGCATCATGAGCATGATGGGGTTTGTTTGGGCGGTTAACCCACCCATAAGCACAACCCAAAGGGCCCTGGACCATGGCGGCAGGGCCGCTTGTTCTGGGCTTTTGACCTTCCTGGTCCCAATCAAGCCAAAATGGCTTCCCAATTGTGCCGATGATGCTTCTGTACGAGGCGCGCACACGCGCCTCGTACAGAAACATCATCGGCACAATTGGGACCTCATTTTGGGCCGTTTTCAGTTAAACTAAAGAGAGCAGGACCT